GGAAGGCAGGCAGACAGACTTGTTTCTTTCTTCCTCAAGGCCGGGCAGCTTCTGGACAGCAACCTCAAATTCCTCCATTTTTCCCCGTCGCGGGCTTTCGCCTTCCAGGACCACCCACTAGGCCAACATTCTAGTGTGACAGTACCTAGGTAGGTACCTCGCAGAGCCGCGTCCTCCCTCACATCAACAGAATTCTTAATCACGCAATCATACGCATCGGGAGACAGAGGGAGAGAAAGCTGGAATTGGCGATTATTAAGACAGGAAGTCTAAATCCTACCTCATGCACTTCTTGCGCGACTGGCACCGTGACTCACACGGAGTCGCAATCCACTGCCACTACTTCCTATCCCTTTAAAGCCGAGTAGGTGTAATTTAGCGTCCTTTTCAACGCCCAATGATATTAAATAGAGAACGGGGATCTGAGCAAATCAGATTCTGCAGAGAACTCCTCAGTTACTCACTGAGGTAAGCAGAGGAAAACTGGGGAGAAAACCGCGCTAAATTACACCTACTCGGCTTTAAAGGGATGTCCCAGCCAGCAAGTGTGCCCAGGTAGCTCCAGCATCAGAGACGACAGTGTAGCACAGCTCGGGACTTCCTTGGGCATACCGACCAGACTGCTGTCTTCTACTTGACCATCCATTCCGACATGCAGACCCCTATTTGCAGATATTACCGTGGCATGGGTGCGGGTGCGCTGCTCGCCTGCATACGATGCGGCTTATCATGGGTTTCAAGTCTCATGAGGTAGTACGATTATCATTCCCGTCGAGCCGTTGAAGAGCAACATTGGCAACCGTATATGCAGGAGGTGAAGCGGACTGGAAATGATGCGAGGGTGGTACTAGCAGAAAAGCTGACCAGAAGTGTCGGAAGAGTCTCGAGAGCTAGGGACGTGTCTTCTTCGAACTTGACCGCAGGCGAGGCACAGACTGGCCCAAACGAACTCAAATAAGGGTTCAGGTTCAGGCTCTCGCTGCGGCGGATGACAGACTGCCTGGCGTGCCGCCGTAGATGCCACTCCGGAAACCTCAGGGATCTTGGCAGTCGAACCAGGGGCACCACGGCACACCGCACTCCGAGATGTCTGGCTCTTACCAATTACCAGAGCCCACGGCTCAAGTACGCACCACACAGCTTCCTATGTCCCCGTCACCGCGAACTGCACAATGACGATCCATGATGTATGTTGCAGTGGGCTAGAAAGCCACTGCGTCGTTGATGGACGTGGATTTTTGCAAGGCTGGCAGTGGCTGGTTCTCGGCCATAAACCATGTGGTTTTCTTCTTTCTGAACGATTGTCGATGCCGATCTGCAATAGTAACCAGCTTTGTGAAGGACGGTGGCTACCGAGCATTCGGCCGGTGTGCTCGCAGCAAGCAAGCACGGGCAAAGGGTCTTCTTGTCTGGTCTTGGTCTCTCTTCAGGTCCCTTGCTTCGCGGACGTGGTGTTCCTTGCCTAGAGGTGGAGCACCGGGGGATGTCTCTGGCTGCCATTGCTCGTGTGTGCGTCGATACGTACCGGGTCTGGCGTGACGGGCACATGGCCTCGTCTGGTCTGTGGTCTCGCGTGGTAGATCAGGGCCGACAGATCTGTCAAGGGGTTCCCAGGAAACACACTGTACTTTGTAAGGAAAGGCATTCATTCGTAGACCGACTGGCCTGGCCTGGCTTTGGATCTGGCTAAATCCGCACGGATTATTCGTACAACATCTGAGGCCACACTCCACGCTCCCGTGCGGTGGTGAGCTTCTCTGTGACCTGTCTCGACGGATACCAAGAAGCCTACCTATTGGCTTCAAGATGCCATAGAGAGGCACGAGGCACACTTCTCTAGCTCCATGCAATGACCCCGTCCCAATCCTCCCAAGTTTCAGCGGCAGCTTACGGTGCAGGCAGTAGGTAGGCGTCAAGCAAGCAGGGTAGTCGCAACAGACTGAAGATTTTTGGATTTTTTTTTTTTTTCTTTTCCTTCTTTCGAAAGAGGTATTTGGTTTTCTGCGTCACCATACCTATACAATCTCCCATATGATCTCAACTGCCCCTCGAGTTAGGTGTGCGCCGGCATCGCATTGCATCCAACAGCGCAGCGCAGCTCTGGAACCCCGAAGGCGATAACGGCGTGGATGCAGGGCGGCGAGCCTGCCTTGAGTTCGCGACGCTCTTGCCTTATCAAATAATTTTCCATCCACGTGCGCTCCTCCCCCGATGCGTGCGTGCTGCAACATGCAAAAAAGCAAGGAAAGATCACAGGAGCACAGGAGGACATCCAGGGACAGTGCTGCCCTGCCGATAGGTAAGGTAGGCGGCCCCATACCTGCCTCCTATCCCTGGTCCTGCCTTCCCATTCATGGTTTCTGGAGACCTCCCGGTTGGAAACACCGCACCGCGGTCCCTTCCTTCCTTCCTGGCCCCCGAGCACCTCGCCTTACTTGCTTTGCACACTGCTGCTGAATGTCAGGGAGGGAAGGAAGGGCTTGTTTTGTTTTGCAAGTGGAAGTGGCAGGTGCTATCTCTGTGTCGTTCCTTCTTTTCCTGTTTCGAATCATCGTCTCCACTCCCAGTCGACGCCCAGAACTCAGATAGGCGAGAGACGTCGTCGTAGCACGGCACGGCAGACTGCGAAAGTGCGACACTGATGAGGTGCTACACCTCGGCGTAGGAGTTGCGGTGCCCTTCTCCAGCTCGTCCTTCTTCCACCCATCCATGCCCACCCCTGCCTTCCATGCCTTCCAAACCCCATCTGCTGCAACCACTCACAAGCCGACCTTGGATCTTGCGAGCTTCCCCGGGACACGTTCCGCTGCCGCTGCCTCCTCTCCTTTCCTCCGTCCTCCTCTTGGAACGCGAGGCCCTCATCCTGTGTGGTTTAAAGCCGCTGGAGAACAGACAATCCTACTCTGCGTCATTCCCCCCCCCAACACACAGCAAACACCAAGTAGCTTGCATATCATACCTGGTACATGCATCATCTGCGCTCGCACAAAGAGAAACCGAAGGAGCCTCTCACTTTCTGCACGTCCTCACACACTCGCTGCTCGCTCACACACACTCTGTCTCCCACACATAGACGCACATACACACACACACACACACACACACACACACTTTTCAAGCCCTCAAGCAGACCAGCTCATCTACCGCACCACCTTACAGACTGCCAGCCAGACAGACACACGCGCCTCCTGGCAAGCACCAGCCCTCAAACGGTGCCAACGATCGCCGAAAGTCTACAAGACCCCTGAGCCCGGTCGCACTGCTACCACCATCTCCAACCAATCCACGCTCTCTCCTGACGCCGTTGTCCCCTCCAGAGGCTGTGCCACCAGGAAATCCGGTCTAGCACCAAGAGTGCTGGCAGGGGCCTTCCTTCCCTTCTCTTGTCTCTCCTGCTTCGCTCGCCCGCTAGCCTACGTCCCGCCTTCCAGGTTGTTTTGTCTTGCAATTCCCATCCGTCCATTTCGATCAGAAACCTCCTCCACCACCGCTGATACCACCACCACTACCACACACAGGACAGCACCACCAACACCACCACCGACCTACACAGAAGCGACGGTACCTCCATGCCCTTAACCTCGCTCGTACGAAGCACGGTACTTCCTCCACACCCGGCTGCTGGCGCTACAACACCACTGCTGCTGCCCACAGTCTTGCTGTGAGCGCCTTCTCCCTGCCCGCCCTCCCATCTCTCTCTCTCCTCCCTTGGGGGATACTAAGTACATACAGACGCACGCAACAACTCCATCACACCCACATCCCCTCGACCCAGGCGGGCGCCACTGACAAGGAGGTCGTCGACACTATTCGCCAATTTGTCCATATCAAACACTTTCAAAGAAACGACTTTGACGACCATTCAGCGACAACCCCTCCCAAGGCCCTGCTGTCCTCGCAGCCAAAGATAACGCAATTGTCATTGTCAGGGACCGCTACGAGCTAGTCACTTACAGGCGCCGGGAAACTTCTTGGAGTGGTCGCGTCGCTCCCCACCGGGCAAGGTACACAGAAAGTATACATTTCTACATATGCCTTAGCATTGCCTTAGCCCACACCGAACCCTTCCCAACTCTACGCGATCAGCATCTGATTGGTACGATACGTCGCTCCCGAATACTCCAGCGGCGGCGCGCAATTGATACTCCACAACAACTTCCTCCCTTGTCCCTCCCCCCAACCCAAGGCCCAAGTCCAACCGTGACTGGGCTGCGGCCTGGACCAGACTCAACCCTCGAACAAGGGCCACCACCCCAAGGGACACACCGTCGACGCCCCCGGGCCCAGCATCCAGTGGCCACCACGTCCATAGTACGACCGACTCTCGTTTCCACACACCCTCTCTCTCAGCGAGCGTTCAATTGACTGGCCTGCTGCGGGATACCTTAGGTACGTTGGCGTGGGATCTTCCTCGATATTCCCCCCATCTCTCTCATCGTCCATCGTCCTGCAACAACCCTGGGCTTCCGTTTCCCCAAAGTACCTGCTGCGGTATTCAGCCCGGCTTACCTTTGGCTACACAGGCAACCGTGCCTTTTTCGATACTTTTACGCACCAAAAAACCCTACAAGTCGACGTTGTCCTGCAACATCCTTCCGCGCTTCCGCCCGCTCTAATCCCCCCTCCCCTCTCTTTGCCGTCCGCAATCGCGCCGCAGCAGCAGTACAATTCGATATCCCCCCACCCCCGGTTCTCTCACAACCTTCAGGTACCCTTCGTCCTGGGCCCAAAAGCCCCGTCACGGTAGTCGTTCTGTCGACCTTGCTTTAGCCGTCTCCTGGCCTCCGTCCTCGAGTCACCCACCCGTGGCCGTAGCCCAATTGGGTGCCTGTCACCATCAAGCTTCGAGGGGCCCCGGCAAGTCGACCTGCTCTAGCCTGTCATCTGCTGCATACCTACCGCGCGCCGGTACCCAAGTCCCAGTCCTGGTCTCCATCCAGTCCCAGAGGCGACCCGACTCTCGAACGCAACCAGCAGCCCAGCAGCATCCACACTCGCAGATGCGTGCTGTTGCTTCCTTCCCCCATGCTCCTTGAACGAAGCAGGCCAGCCGCCCGTCCTCTCCTGTCCTGACGCACCGCACCGCACCGCGGCGCACCCAACCCAACCCATCAAGGCGCGCACACCACACTATACGCCATTCCTCCTGCTCTTCCCTCACCCTCGCACACTTCCCACCAACACACCTTGTCTTTACGTCCCCCCTCTGCCGTCAACACTACCACCACCTCGCGGTACATTGGCACCGTATCCTTTTCTCTCGTCGTCCCCGAACTTTAAGGCACGATATAACCTTGCGACAGCTCATCTCGCGCTACTCGCACGCTCCCTCTCCTTTCCCTCTCCACCAAAACCGAGTCCAGCCCCCCCAACTTTTCCACATCGCCCTTGTAGCAGGCTGCATTCTTCCATCGCCCTCTGTCTCGCCGCCCCTCAGAGACTGTCGTCGACGCACGATACTTTGGAGCGCGTTTACGACCAGCAATCTGCACCACCCCCTTCAAGTATTCAGGCAATCACTCCTGTGATCAGCGCGATTGTCGCAAGTTTCCAGCAATCTCCTGCAACCACAACGCAACCCCCCGGGAACCACGCGCCAGCGCATGCACCGAACCACCGGCGGATGACCGGCGAGTAAAGGTGAACCAGCCGCGCACATTCGGCCTCATTGGCGATACCTCAACTTTTCTTGAAATGACAACGAGTCGCGCAAGTCCATTCCATCCGACAAATACGATAACGAAGACTGCCATGGCTGCGCCAGCTTTTCTGCAACAATCGCAACCCTTCAGGTCGTCCAACGGCCAACCTGCGTTCCTATCCTCCGTCAATCCCTTCGATACGACGAAGCCCGTAGGCACCCCGTTCGCTAACGCAGGTCCCGCCGCTTCTTCCGTCCTCATTCGCCGTCTCCCTTTGAACACTTCCGAAGAGTCGCTCCGCCTCATGGTCGTGTGGTCCAAGGAATTGGTGGATGTTGAGGTTCTTCCCGTGGACCATTCAGATGACAAGGGATTCCGATCGGCCATTTTGAAGTTCAGGACCACGAACGGCGCGATCGAGGCGAAAAACATGTTGGACGGGAAGTCCAATATTTCCAACGACGCGAACATGATTGTAGAGATTCTTGGAGGAAGTCCAACCACCTCGAGGCGATACGCCGAGCCTGCAGGCACTGGGCCGTCAAGCACCGCTTCCTCTGCGACATCCTCTGCGCCAACATCGCGACAGCCATCGCGATTCAACGGGGGTTTTCAGCCTCTCGAAAAGATCTCGCCGCCCCTGAACGCTATCTACGGCTCCAGCGAATTGCCAAATCCCGAGTCCAGCGCGCACTACCAGAATCTGTTCTCCCCGCAGTCACCGATCGGAAACCATCTGTCGGAGCGAACTCGCGCCACAGGGAAATCGATGATCAATGACGACGCCGGCGACGACGACGACACTGGTGAGTTGCTGAAGGATCCGGTCGCCTACGCGGAAAACGGCGCCACGTCCCAGCGACGGGCCACTGCCCCACAGCTACCCATCTCGCGTCTGGCCAACCTATCCTTAAACACCAGCTCGTCTTCTGGCCCATCATCTCTGCCACAATATGGCCAGCAAGGAATGGGAACGATGTCGGCTCACCCAGCTACCATGTCGCCAACCGTCTTGGGCAGCGGCCCACACGGGGGGGTGCCCTTTCACTTGGCAGGTGGCCACCCGTACGCCCGGCATAACTTCCCCCCGGTGAACCCAGCCGACCAGAACCCGCCGTGCAATACTCTATACGTCGGCAACCTTCCCATCGACACTTCCGAGGAAGAGCTCAAGGCCATGTTCTCCAAGCAGCGAGGATATAAGCGCCTCTGCTTCCGGACCAAGCAGAACGGCCCCATGTGCTTTGTTGAGTTTGAGGACGTTTCCTTCGCTACGAAGGCTCTCCACGATCTCTATGGCCAGCCCTTGCACAACAGTGTCAAGGGTGGCATTCGCTTGAGCTTCTCCAAGAACCCTCTCGGCGTTCGATCTGGTCAAACTCCCGGCCAGGCCACTTCACCCATGGGGGGCATGATGACGGGTTCTACAAACGGTTTCAAAACCGCCAATGGACCCCCTCCGGGCCTCGCAGCTCCTCCAGGCCTCGGCGCTGGCCGCTTCAACGGTGGTTCGGCCGCACAGTCGTACACTGTTGCTGGATTTCCAGCTAGCAGCAACAACAATGTATGGAATGGGTACAGCGGCGCCATGACGGCCGGCGGGCCTGGATCTTTGATGAACGGAAACAATTCCAACTACCTGCCACCTCACATGCTGGGCAGGTAAATGCTCAGAGGATGGGCTCAAGCTGCCCTAGGGCATTGGGACGCATTGTGGCGAAATAATTGGGCGTTACGGTGTTCCAGGATGAATATACGACGACATTGAGGTCACCCGACGGACTGGGGACGGCATCGACGGATAGTCCGTCTCGGGACATTGTCTCTCTACCCAAGCTTTTCAACGGGTTCAGACCCTGGGTTTGCGGCACTCTTTGCCACACGGCGCATACGCATTTACATTGGCATTTCATCTCGGCACTCATCTTCACATTTCTTATATTAACTCTACACGATTCCCATCTTGGCTTTGAGCGACTGGGCCCTCTTTATGATTCGGAGTCGCGTGAGCTTCTCGGGAACGGAAGACGTGCATCAGGAGGCGCTTCGTTATGGGCTACCTCGGTCCAGGAACGCGGCAATGTCGAGGTTTTGATTGAAGTAGTTCGGTTTAACTCTCGTTTCTTTTATTCCCCCCTTTTTTGTTTTCGATAATGGCGCCGGTCTGGTTTCCTTTCTTTCATTCAGCATGGCGCGTGGATCGGACATTTACTACGGTAGACGAGCTTCGGGGAATCTAGTCTCACGTCCCTGCGGACTATTATACCCTGCGCCAGCGACTCGAGGACGGAGTTTCTGGGTTCGATACGTTTTGCGATGCTGTTTTGCGAAGCATTCTCAGGATCTGGGGCAATGGGACTAAGGACAAAGAAACTCGCGGGGAAATGGGATATTCACTGGCACAGCGATTAGCGATTGATGCGTACGGGGGAGCGTTGTGTTGGGTTTTCAGGAGCATGGCATGAGTCAACCAAAAAGAGAAAATGCCCAAAAGCACAGAAGAAAGCGAATGGATTCAAAGTTGATCTAACAGAAAACACCCTCAAAAGGCACGGAGGCCGAAAGTCATCTTTTTAATCGCGCGCAACACACGTTTGGGTCATAAAGGACACGGGTTTTTAAAGAACGCAAACGAAAGAGAGAAGGCGGAGGTTATGCGGAAAGGAAGAGAAGGCAGTCTGGCAACGGCGCGTCCTCCATTCTGGGCATGGGAGGCAAGGCTGCATCTGTTCCGTCTGTCAGGCACGCACAAAGGCATGGGTACGCATTCAACCGGGGTTCTTGTTTGGCATCAAAGACGGGAAGGGAACCTCCAGCATCACGCAACGCACAATGGTTGGGACACTCTGTGAGCAGGCTGCGTCGTGGGGACCGAAGAGGCGGGGTTGGAAGGGTTGTCCTGGCGGGAAGACGCCCATTCCCGGCGTTTTCTCCAATTGTTTCGTTTTTTGACGTGTTTCCTGTGTTGTTTCCTTTGCCAATTTTCTTTTTCACCATTGAGAGCGAAACATACCCCCTTATGGGATTACTATTTAGGCCAAGAAAGGAGTTTGATTTCTGTTGTGACTAGACAACCCGGGACCCAAGTTTTTGCCCATGATCTGGACCGGACCCATTGAGGTTGTGACAGCGCGTGACGATCCCGTTCCCGGTGGGAAGGTAAAGTTTTGGTGGGCTGGGTGGGTTCCGCGGCCTGTTTTTCGGTTGGGGGGAAACAGCAACTGCCAACACCTTTCTGTCCCCCCTCTCCAGCCGCCACCACACACCCCCGCTTGATGGACAGGAACCCGAAGCTGGGCCGGGTGGGTGATGGGTCACCCTACTTCACGTCGCACAAGGTCGGAAGGGCCCCGTCTTTGGTTTAGTCGCGTCGCCGCCGCCCTTTCGCGCTCGCTCGCGCGCGCCCACGATGTATTTTCGGGGGGCCGAGGAGGGATATCCCTGAGCCCCCGAGTTACAGTGTTTGCATTGCCGCGGGTTTTATTTCCCCCCTGTGCCAGTTCCATTGCCATCGGTGGTCCCCTATTTTTTCCTGGTCCCTTTCTGAATTGCCTGAGCCTTACGCTATCTCTGTTTATCTACCCCGGATGATCCAGCTGGAAAGATGGGGGCGCGGATTTTTTTTTCCTCTCGGCAGTGTCTTGGCGTTTTGCTCGCTCGACCCTTTCGTCTTCTTTCGAACTCGTGATTTTCTGGAGTACATGTTACGGACACGCCATTGAAGATACAACTTGAGCATTGCGTTCATCGACTCGTCATAGGTCGTTTTTGAGGTGGCGCGGTGAAGCCACCATAACGACGCCTTACAATTTGACTTCCCCTCAACACTATGGCGCTCAACAACTAAAGACTAGGACTACATTATCTTCATTGACGCCTCCTAAGCCTCATCAGGTATAGATAGATGGTCAAAAAGGCAAAAAGAATCTCCTCGACGGGGAATTGAACCCCGGTCCCCGGCGTGACAAGCCGATATCCTCACCACTAGACTATCGAGGATCGGTGTTGTTGTTGAATGGAGTGGCAAGTTTGGTGCTCAAGACCCACACCAAAGCGGGCAAGCGAAGGTCCTCAGCTCAGATGCCCCGATCTCGACTACGTCGAAATGTTTTCTGTGGTTTTAGTATATATTCGCGATTATGTTTTCTTTCGTCTCTGTCTCACCTTGGATAGTCTTTTCTTAGATGATGAAAGAATACATCCCGCGCAAGTCGAGCCATGTGAATTCCAAACATTACGCAGAAACATCACATAGTCTCGATGCATGTTTGGTTCTTTGTGAGCAATTACCTGTCATGGTCTTCAAAGACCGCAGAATTTCGACAATGGAACGTCGGTGGGGTAGGTTTCCGCTTTGGATCATGCTGCCTCTACTCAGAAATAAGAAAAGTGCCATTTTGGCAGCGTGCATCTCGCAAAGGATACTACAGAAGGAATTATTGTCTCGTTGGCAGAAAAGCTCCGCTCCCACAATCACCCATCGCCCGTATCTACGTGATTTGTGACTGAACGGGGTCCCCCGACTTGGCAACCCGGATCCAGCGATGTGCATCATCAAACGCATCTCCTTGCCGTCTAGATCCCGCAGGCGTGCGGTCCGAAGGCCGCAGCACACCGGCCGCCTTTTTTGGTTCATCGTACGATTGAACTTATTCCCGTTATTTTTCGTCCCCATCGATTGTGCTCTAATACGTCCGCGGGGCAGTTCCGACTTTCTCTCCACAAGTGATCTGCCCGCCAGGTGCCATGTATGTCTTGGACCGTTCGCCGTCGCGGTCGATTTGCATTTCTCAGATCTACCTCCCCGTCGAGAGAGAGGGGTTTGCGATGGGCGGCTAGGAGATATAATGAGATGGAGCGGGCCGCACGCGCGCGCGGGAAGTGATGCGACACGGGGACTCTCTCTTCTTCCTTCCTTTTTTCGTCGTGTATGCATTTTCTCCTGGGCTACTTATCTGACAGCGCGATCGTAATTGTTTCTGGAAAAGGACTGAACGCTACAAACGGCGGTTTCCTGTTCGAAATGACAGATCAACAGAACCTGTAAAAAGCGAAAGTTCCGACACGAGAGAATGTCCGAGAAGGCGGCGTCTCGACGCAGTTCCAAAGCCGGTTCGCCGGCCGCAGCTGCGTCCTCCCCGCCAGCGGTGACGGAGGGCCAGATCACAGCGCATCTCGACATCGAGATTGACGCGGAAGATGTGGGGAAGCACTTGTTTTGGTTGTATTTGTCTTCACGGCTAAGTGTCTGTACAGCCCGCGGACAATGATAGTGTTTTCGACACTGCGAGTGTAAGAGCGCCGGGCTTTTGTCGTACTGCGCGGTAGCGAAGGCTGACTTGTCGCAAGCTCGCCTCGTCAACCACCAGCGTCAATGAGTCGATTCTCAACTACCGGACGGAGAATGGGAGGACGTATCACAGGTATAAGGAGGGCAGTGAGTCTTCTACACATGGCCCGCCTTCGGCAGATACGCGCTGACGTTGCATGGAAGAATACATGTATCCCAACGACGAGCAGGAAGTCGATCGACTGGGTATGCCTCATCCGGGTGACTTACACTCACAGCTGCTGACCAGTCTTCTCAGATCTTCAACATAACATGTACCTCCTCACATTTGACAACAAGCTCGGCACGGCGCCGCCGAACGATATGGACTCACACATCGGGCGCGTGCTCGACTGCGGGACGGGAAGCGGAATCTGGGCCATTGAATTCGGGGACGAGCACCCGGAGGCCGAGGTATATCTGGACCGGCTCCGACGGACTTGACTTGTGGCTGACGATATCGATGTGCCAGGTACTCGGGGTTGACCTCTCTGCTAATTTTCCAGAGTAGTAAGTCTGCCCAAGCGAAGTTGCCTGAAAGTCGTTTGAGCTTACCACATTCAGTGTTCCGCCGAATGTCAAATTCGAGATCGATGACATTGAGGAGCCATGGACGTGGTCACGCCCCTTCGACTACATCCACAGCCGGATGATGACATCGGCTATCAACGACTGGAGGGCATATCTCGCGCAATGCTACGAGTGAGTGGCCAATAGAAATGCTTGTTGTCACGTTCATACAGCAGCTGACGCGAAGCCCGATAGCCATCTCAACCCTGGGGGCTACCTCGAGCTTAACGACGCCGACGTGAACCCCTTATCCGACGACGGCACCCTCAAGCCCGACTCGGCTCTGTCGAGATGCATGTGCATGATGGCAGAGGCCTCGGAGATCTTGGGCCGCCCGTTTGTCGATGTGCAGGGGTTGAAAGACGTCATGGTGGACGTGGGTTTCGAGGACGTTCATGTCCATCGTTTCAAGTGGCCCACGAATCCGTGGGCGAGACATTCAAAGTACAAAGAGCTCGGTTTCTGGTGCGAGGAGAATTTCGCCGGGAATTGGGAAGGTATTATCATGGCGCCGTTCACGAGGGGGCTGAAGTGGACTAGAGAGGAGACGATGGTGTTTGCGATGGAGGTGAGGAAGGAGCTGAAGGACAGGAGTATCCATGCGTACTTCTCCATGTAAGTTGTAGTTGAGTTGTGCTGGCGGCGGTACTGACTTGACACGTAGATGGTCGATATACGGACGGAAGCCTGGAGGAAGATGAGCCGATCTCTGGCCATCGCTGAGGCACTGCATGAACACCCCAAAGAGCCGGTTGAGCGGTGGCTAG